AAAATCTGAGAATAGATATAAAAGTTTACTTGAATGTTTTTATTAATTTAAAAAACTCAAAAGCTCATATTTTTTACTGGCTACGTTCATAAGCTTACTTTCAATTGTAATATTTACTTACTTTTCGCCGAATTACCTATTAGATAATTTCAAAATACATGATATTTGGAGGTAAGTTATGATAAATTTTGTTTCTGCATTTACATATACACCCTAGTAATTTCTTCTATAAATAGAGTATATCTGTAAATAAAAATCTAATTATAACTACCAATCGTGTGAATTTGATTTAACTGCAATATTCAATAAGCTTCATCTACATATTTTTTTACGTAACTTTCAAGCTTTTTTAACGGCTACTGACCGATATCGGCCTTCCAATGTGAAGGAATGTAATTTCAATAATTCTAAATCTAAGAAAAACCAAATTGACAAGCTATATCTAGTAGCTAAAGCCATAAAGTATAACCAGAAATGATGTTTAAGATGTAGAGATATTAAAAGTGAGTTTTAATTTAAACTAACTAATACGAAACTGCCATGCTGAAATGCTCCATTCAGCAGATAAGACGAACTCTTGACCTTACATAAACGAGCATGAGGCAAATAACGAATTTAGGAAAGAGCATACCAGGCAACATAGATGTGCACATTTGCCAAGCAATTGAGGCGAGCAGATATGAGAACCAATAGCCTGTGGTGGGAAAAGTATCGGTCACGATTGAAGGGAGGATCGACGGCGTTAATTCTCACACTCTGTTCAAAGTAATTGCTAATATAGCCACACCCAACACAATAATAAGGCCCCCAAGATGTGGAATCTTAAGCAGGATGGGAGACAAAGTTAAGACTATGGATCCACATATCAAGTTTTGACATGTTCACCAAGTAAGTCATATCATCAAGACTTTCGTTTACGGACAACGTCTATGGTGAAGAATGTATAATATTAGCGGACTAGCGCCCTGTAGATGGGGAATGATTAAATAAAAAAGGACATGCAAAAATGCTTAATTCAGAGACAACCGTGTATTGTTACAACTGTCACCATACTATACTGGAATCATTCGTGTCATCTCTAGAGACAATTAATATTTTACTTCACTAATAAAAGATAGTCATGAAGTAGTAAGCACAGACCGACTTAAACCAGCAAAAACTGGCAATTCGAAATGCATTATAACTACAAGGCAAACGCAGACTAGGCGCATATTAAGGATACAAATACCACCATCCACACAACCAATGGAACTAAGAGGAAAATTCTGTTTCACATTCAGAACCCGATGCAATTTTTATGACTAAATTTTCCCTTAGTTGTTATTTTCTGTTGTGTCTGTCCCGTCTCGACTAGCCTCTAGGCGGAAGTATTCCAGTAACTTATACTCCACATTCAGTGTTAACAGCGTTATCCTCACACTCAACTAGCAAGCAGACATCTGTCAGCACGCCTAACGCCAACTACAGCCACATCCACCACCGCAACAACAGCAGCAATATGCCCCTCCCCCATCTGTTTGTCCATATCATCCTTCAGGACATTCAATACATCCTGGCTGGCCACGATATCATCCCCGCAGATGCTGTGTACTCGAGGTTCACACACTCCACTCTTCATCATCCATCTTGTAGTAGCTCTATTGGGACTGGAACTTATATAAAATAATACCTGATGTAACTATGATTTTCGAATGTCAAAAACCTTTAACTATTTGTTACTCTTCCTTACTGATGAGAAAATTCAATATCGAGAAGAATGTGAACCACTGAGAAATACCAAAGCATGTGGAGGCACAGTTTTTGTGTTCTTCTATCAAAGGTAAACAAGGAAAATAAACGAAGAAAACCTTATTTAATGTAAAAATAGGATCAGAAACGATT